AAAGCCTAGCGAAAGGGAATCCCGAGTCTGAGCGATATGCTTCCGAAAGAAAAACCCTTAAGCCGTAAGCCTGATGCCTTGGCAGCGACCGGATGCTTGTCTCGTGTATCCTGGAGGTCCCTAAGAAGCCTCACTGAGATCAAACTCATAATCATAATGTTAGTGCGGCAGAGCGAAACGAAACAGTTTTTGTTGTGTAAAGCCTCGAGCGTATCTAATGCCTCGAAAGAGGCAGCTTCCCGCACGCCTCCCGTTTGTAGGAAGCCTCCCATCTAGCGATCTTGTAAAGACATAATATACTTAGCCCAAACCCAAGGAACCAAAGGAAGCCTCATATTTCCAACACCACGAAAAGCTGTAAACTACACGAATGGGAGGCTGCACGGCCACAACATGACCTAGAACGAAACGATTTCCTTTCTGTAAGAACAACACTCAGCAACCTCCCTACCTACTATCCGTCCTGTCACAAGAAGCACCCATGTTCAAAGCCCAAAGTCTGCTTTCCTACTAGATGGAGGAACACATACCCGTCGCAACAACTTGGCCCATTCAGGGTGCCACTACCCGCAAAAGACTCCTGACAGGTCTGCAATGCTGCGAGTTGGATTCTTCCCGTAGCTGAGGCTGCCTACGTTGTTTCAAGCAGTCATGGGAGGGAGCGTGCCCCGTAGTCTAAAGATGCAGGATGGTACGACACCAGTTGGTTTGCAGGTGTTTCCCTGAGGATTGGCTGCTGCGGAGGTTTGGGGTGTAAGAACGGGCTTTTTCCTACCGTCTGTTCCCCTTATAATTAGGGATTTCGACAGAAAAGCAGAATGACACATTTCCTTCTCGAAGCTTCACGCGTACAGTAGGTCAGTACGGATCATGATCGTATGGCTTTCAATCTTGGTGGGAGAGTTCGGGGGTGTTCTGCTTTCAACGGCTGAGGTTCTTTACTTATTTTATGGTGATGCAGGGAGGTATCTTTCCGAGGCCTTGAATCTAAGTCGCACCGAGCAGCGATTGGATTGCATTCGCGATTGCTTGCCCTTTGCAGGATCTCCGAACCTTCGCAGCCAGCAGGAGGCATCTGCGGCGAGTAAGACTGTTTGCGTGCTCGCATTGACTAGAAACATTGCCAATACCAGATCCTTGTATTCATAATGAATGCTAGAACGACGAAGCTTTCTCTGATAAGATTTTGTGCACGATGCCCTCCAGGTCATGACAGCTTTGCGTATCTTACAATGAAAGTATGTCTTCGCAATATTCTGAAAGTGCCCAATTCCATGGCAATTCCACGACAGGCCACGGTGACAAGCACCGAACATAGATTCAGATACCCTTCACATGTCACCTTGTAACCTCGCGTCACAGCAGAAACGTGCTTGGTGCCATCTGAGGACAAGGCCCAAAGCTTTGATTAACAAGCAAGCAAAGCTTTAGGAGAGGACAGTTTGACATCATGGCGTGTGTCCACCATGTGAAACTATAAACGTCACTTCAACGACAACCCATCAGCATGCACTCTTGTGTGTGTGTGTCAGCTACTACACACAGATTTGGGCGATCATGCTATGTCTTTAGCCATGGAGTTTTGCTGTCATGACGACGATCTCCGCCGAAGCTCGTGCAGAGCTCCTCGTCTAATCGACTTTGACCCCTACTTGGAGGCCCAGGAGACTTAGTAAGTGGGTTATAAGTAGACTTATAAGTACCCTAAATGGAGTTACACTAAATATAACCCTACTTAAAACCGACTTACTAAGTCCCCTGGGCCTCCAAGTAGGATTCCTCTAAGCGTGACATAGTGCTGTTTGAGGTATCTACGTGGCTTGAAGCGGCCATCATCTGAGCCTCCGCGCCCCCCAGCGCGGCCACTTGCGAAACCTGTCCGTGTTCCATGCATTGCAGCAAGCAGGAGTGACACTGACAATGGGGTAGCCACTGCAACTGATCGAACTTCCTTCTTTCTTGGAGTTGCAGCTCTACAGCTCGGCAGTGGGCAAGCAGAGTCTCCTACACCAGCAAGACATGAAGTAGTCAGCGAAGCTGCTTCAGTCATGGAGATACACGTCGATTGGAGGGCTATGTCTCGGTTTCAAGATACCTTGCATGGCATCCCGCAGCTAGATGCACCTGTTGCCAAGAAAAGAAAGCGCCCTCACTATGACAACCGTCAACGAGCACAGAACAAGCGAGCGCCACGCAACACTGATGTGTTTCCTGATTCATCTAGCATATCATGCTGTTGCATTTTTTATTGGTGTTACGATGAATGGAAGCCATGGTCACATTGTTTTGTAGAGTCTTCAAGATTATTCCGTAAACACTTTCAAGACTTGCCCAGGCATCGCAACAACGGAGCCAGTCACGACAGGTTGGCCGCACTGTTCACCAGCAAGTGTCGATGCAGCGGCAATCACAATTGCTTTGAGCAGTTTCAAGCTGATCTGAATGAAGTTTCCAGTTTTGTCGCTGCGTTCTGGAAATTCGAGAAGCTGCAGCAGGATGCATTTGTGTTCAGGCTGCATGGTCAGTTGTCGACACTGTGGTCGGGATGCGGGGGCTTGTAGTACTTTCAGTTGGTTTTGTTGCGTCTGGCTTTGATTGGATCTCAGTTACGTGACGTGGCACGGCCAGCGGACGGTGAACACCACTGTCGTCAATGGTTTCTGCTCGGCAAATCTTTGGGAGTCAGATGCATTGCACTGATATTGGGCATCGGCCGAGAGAGACTGCGATCTGCGTGCCATCGCAAGATGGACCAGCGGTATACTCAGAACCAACTGGCTGTTCAGCTGCATCTAGATCCTTGTTGCTTTGACCCGTCAAGTGATATTTCTGCGGGCCACGTCTATGCGGCCACCTGAGGTTCCTTCACACCCTGCCCCCAAGCACTCTCGAACGGATGCTTTCTTGCTGGATGTTTACATCAGGGCGGGAAGCACAATGCCGGATAAGTTTCCAAGCTCAATAATACTGTGTGCGGTCTAGCCCGTTTTGCTGCACAGCTTGACATGTTGGATTCAAGGTTTCGTCGTGCTGCACAGAACCGTTCCGCGGCAAAGGGCCAGCCTGCCTCCCCGCTGTGCGCCAGATTGGGGGAGCATGGGCCAGCTTCTGGCACACCGACTGCTCTGTAATCTAGTTTGTTTGGTTTAGCTAACGTTTGAAGACCTCTTGCGTGTCTCTGCCGTCTCCCTGAAGCCTACCCAGGTGATGATGAGGAACTGAGTTCAGATGGCAGTGATGGCTGTTTGGCCCAGGACGGGGAAGTGCTAGAGGATGATGAGGAACTGAAGCTCTTCATCATGGGAGAGAAGTCAATGTTTACCAAGCCCCTAGGATGTGATGTCACCTGACCTACCCCCTTTGCTTGGATTCTTCACAGGAACACACAACCTGAACCTCAACTCAGGTATGTGGAAACCGATCACGGGCGACACATCAGCTCCTTGCCCGTCCGTTACTTGCCACCTGGCAACATCAAGATGCTCTGGCTTCAATTCGGCGGCCCTCAATCCGGAGTTTCGTGCCTCGGGTGCATGTGATGCATGTGAAAATGCTTTTGTGGAAACAGACATGTCCAGTTCGATGCAATGAGTCAGGTACAACCATTTCTGGCACCGTTTTCGGAACTGCTGGGCAAACGTGCTACGCTTCTCCCCCGAGTCCAGTCATGCGGGCTGCAGTGACTGCTTGGGGTTCAAAGAAGCGCTTTCAGGCTCTTTTGCTGAGCCTCGGTTCTTAATCATGGCAACCTCTGCAGAAGAACTCCCTTTGTACACTAGGGTCCACTGTTCATGATATGCTAAGGACCTCCAAAGCAGGTTCGAGATCGCCAAAATGTACCGGGAGCACTTGAACAGCGTCGCGAGAGACCGCGAATTTGAGGAATACTTGCAGGACTCTGAGTAGCAGTTGCGAGAGGAACGAGTTGTCTGTTGTGCATGTGCAGTGCATGTAATATTTTGCTGTGAGAACAGTGATCCGTGGGAGACCTCCTTGGTCTGTCTCCATTGGGATCCTTGATTGCAGCAAAACCTTGTTGCTCGCTCTGTTTCCGGGTTTGCCGGTTGCAATGATTGCCGAAGGATGGGATGGACCAGGCGAAATGGGCGCTGCCCAGAAGTCGCCATGGTATTGAAGGTGCAGACGTAGCCAAGTATGAGAAGCCAAGGCTTAAATTGCAGTGTTGCTGGTGTCATTCTATCGGGTTGCATTTTTTCCTGATCGACCCACGAGTCCACAGTGACGCCTCAATGATATTGGAATGTGGTGCACGAGCCCTCGAGCACATGCAGCAGAAGGCCAAGCAATTGGGCCGCCCCGCTCCGAAACAGTTGGCGGTTGTTGCCACTTTGTCTGCAGTGGAATGCCTGTAGAACAGTGCAGACAAGCGTGCGCGTGTCTAAATAAGTAAGTTAGCTGAGCCGAGGCAGACAACTGCACGAGGGAGAACAAGAATAACCAGGTGCTGAAATATTTGTGCATGTTGGCCGCTGCCTTCAAGATGAACGTTTGCTCATTGTTGATGCATCGTGTGGGGCACACAAAATCGTGTGTCGGACGCTTTCCGTTATCCAGCTTACATGTCAATGTCCCATGTCTAATTGTAAAGCAAGCGAGGCTACTGTTGCTGAAGCATGGCTGCTGCTAAGATCAAGTTTTCGGACTTCTCCGTGCCTGCTTCCGTTATATCGACGTGCTGGCTGATGCTGACGATGCCTGTGAGCCCATCAGCTTATTCATTAGGTGATCAGACTTCCACTTTGCTGTTTGCTGTGGCGAGAAGCTTCCTCAGGAAATTGAGAGAAGTTTGTCGAAGGCTTCGACTCCAAGCCTGGCTCGGCAAGCATGCAGACATCACTGTGACCAGTGTGACCACTGTTCGAGATTGGAAGCGCTGGTGCCTCGTATGAAAGCCGAGCCGTGCTGCAATAGCTTGTCACTGTGTGCCACCATTACAACGTGACTCGTGATGTATATGAGTTAATTGCAGCTGAGGCTGGAAAGCATGCCAGTGGTTTTCAGCGGGGGGATGCGCATCGATGAGACTGCAGTTCACTCGTTCACGTTTATGAGACGAATGGGTCTCTGGGCTGCCATCCAGTTCTGAGGCATGGTTGTAGTTTGAGCAAGTGTTGTGTGCGCCGCTCAAGCCAAGATTGCCCCGCGAACCTGCAGATACGAGCCTCCGGAAGGTATGCTCAAGCCGTGCCCTCCCATCCAGCAGATGTTTTGGGATTTGTCAAGCGCTACATTTCAGATGCAGAGTTGTCCCAAGATTCTCGACAAAGTGAATTGAAGATAGCTTGGCATCTTAGTAGCTGGCGGCATTGATTAGTGAAGTCTAGCTTACTGTGTTGATCCCTTCTTAGCATCTGAGGAACCACTATTGGCCCTGCCGTACGACTTCTTGAAGCTACTCAACGGAGTCGTGCCTGCTTGGCCGCGACCACTGAAGAGCCTGAAACCTGAAAAGCGTGAAAAATATTTGAAGCTCGCCAAAGCTCTTCTTGCCAAGGGCAATTCGGAAATTACAGAACGGAGTGTGGCTTACTTGCTTGATGTAAGCACGAAACTGGAGTACTCTGTTCTACCTCCGCTCCTGTGGCACAGCCTAGCTGTGGACTGCAGGCCCCATGTTCATGTTGATTTTGGTGCGGCCGACAAGAAGATCTTGTCAAAGATGCTGCCTGCAATGCTTTTCCGTGCATCTATCCAAAGGATGGCATAAGGATGTCCGCTCAGACAGCTGCTTCGTGAAGTTGCAATAATGGGGGCTTGGAACAAGTGCCGCCTACGAGGGAACGTAGAGTCAAAGGAGAAGGTTCTAGGTGCGGGAGCTCCTAGCTATAGTCCCTGTGCGAAGCACTCGCCTGCCGAGGTGCTGTCCTCCACCCGTGGCCGCCGGCAGAGGCCCACCTGCTCAGCATTATTGACCATTGATTGATCTGCCGTCTGTTTAATTCTGACTAAGTCTCTGTCTCACGGCTGTGTGTGGTATGTCATGTTTGACGAATCGAAGTTTCAGATCCAGAAACCCCTAAACCCTAAACCCTAAACCCCAACACTACACCCTGAAACCCCTCCAACGAGAACCTTGCCTTCAGGAGTCCTTCGGCCAAAGAGGCGCGAGTTGCTTCTGAGCAGCCTTAGAGGCAGTGCAGGGCCGTCTTCGCTGCAAACGATTGAATATGACTTTCGACGCGCTGAGACTGAACATGACACGACGTGACAGCTCTTGAAACCCAGCGGCACTTCCTGGTTCAAAGGGACCCGGATGTACTTACATAAGCTTGCAGGTGCCCTGGCGGCCCTTGCGTTTCTGATAATGCCGCCCCTTCCTTGTGCAGCTGCCATTCAGATGCTGGCACAGAAAAGAAGCAGCAACAACAGTCAGAAGGCTACCAGCAAGGGCAATGCAGCTTGTGCGAGAAACGTGATTGATCGTGCTTGGCTGGAGAAGAGAGCACAACAGCAACCCAAGCAAAAGTCTCAGCCAGCCAGAAAGAAGATTCCGGTGATCAAGCAAACCACAAAGACCCGAGGCCAGCCCCGTATGATTCTCAGCTGATGTCGTGCACGTTGAAGTTCATAGATAGGACCAGCTAGGACGCACAATAGCATCGGTTGATTGCTCTATGTATAGTCGTTGGGAAACCCAAGGCTTAAGGTTGTAATGGTGTAATGGTACCTGTTGCAAACAAGGACGAAATACCCCAAGACAGACATCGAGCCAGCTACCTCCGACAGCTCTGCCGGGCCCAACACGATGAAGGATTGCTTCACGTGGTCCACCACTTTCCTCGAGACTCTAAGTGCTTGTTACGGGGAAGACTTCGTCTCGAAGCAGCTGAGTTCATGGAGCTGGTGTGTCAGCACCTGCTTTAGCGGGGTTGGCTGTGCAGAGAGTGTCGCATCCTTTGTTGCTGGTGTGCCTGTTGCATTTGCATTTAAGGTCACGAGAATTAGGACCTAGCACGGGGTAGTTGTGGTTGGACTGAGGCTATCCACTGCCTTGCAGCTAGTGCAGCAGACTATGTGGACTGCTCAGACAAGCATGTGATTTTCGAATCGAGTTGCGACATCAACCAATGGTGCCGCCGAGTACTCACGTCAACCTACCCGTGCACGTGCAACTTTGGTGATGTGAGCGAGATGACGGGCAAGATGGCTTGGTGCTACACACACGACAAGAAGTGTCGAGTTACCAAACCTGCTTCTGAAACAGCGGGTCGAACCCTGCCTGAAATCATTGTTCAATGTTCTGCTGCCTTGGCATTCGATCCCGCGATAGTGTCGGCACCCACTGAGGATTGCGCGTGAGCATCGCGGGCAGAGTCCTCAGTCCAAGTCCGAATGGATAGTAGTCAAGCATTCACTGAGTGACAGAGCAGAGCATCAGAGGAAGCCAGGATTCATTATTGGCTAGCCTTACATTGACACCTTACCAGGCCCCCCATGCACGCCGTTCTCAATGATGGGGTTGCGCACTGCCGAAGAACACAAAGCTTATGCTTGCCACGAGACGTACTACAAGAACGAGGTTCGGAAGGGCACTGACATGCTTGTCATCGAGAACGTTCCGGAGTACACCGTGGAGACGGTGCAGAGCCGGCTCAAGCACAAGTACGAGTGCTACGATGTTTGCCTGGATCCGCGGCTGTTTGGGTACAGGACGGCAAGGGCCCGAAGGTACATCGTGGCCCTCAAGAAGGGTTCGGCGACTTGGAACCCCAACATCAGCTTGCGCGATGTGCTTCTGAAGCTGAGATGTCGACCCGTCATGAGTTTGAAGAAGTATTTCTTCATGAAGTCCCCCCCGGGGCAAGAGCTCTCAGCCTGGCACGTAGCTCGTCTTGTTGACGACTAAGTCTGTGTTTGTGACGGGTTCGGTGAGTGTGTTGGGATATAGAGTCGTTTGTTGATTTAGTGCTAAAGCTTGCCCTGCCACCTTGACACACTCGCTTCTCCCTGTAGGCGAAGAACCTTGCAGCCTACGAGGAAAAAAAACCTTCCAAACGGCTGGTGGACCTACAGCAATCCGTCCAGTCAGGGCGGGCCCGAACGGAGACACGCGATGGATCCTTACCTACCTTGACAACCGCGTCTGGAATGCTATACTTCCGAGTATCTTGGCTTCTAGATTCTAGACATTTATTCCACATGCATATTGCGAGCTTGAGAATTGAGTCGAAGGCCCATGTTATCAAAAAGTCTTGAAACATTAATTAATCCTTAAACCCTAAACCATAAACCCCCTAAACGTGAGGCCCAGGCATCCATCGAGCTTCAGGGCTGACGTTCTACCTCAGCACATCACTCCCGTATCATCTCCAAAGGTCGATCCGTACTTATCTTCTTTATCTTTGGATTGCCATCTAGAGTCGCAGACACACAAACCTAACCTCCACAACGAAACCTCAGACCCCAAAACCAGCTCTCTTCAAGCCTCACATGCTTAACCCCCAAAACTCCAGGACACTAAATCCAAGAAACTACACTCACTTTGTTGTCTATGAACCCTTGCACACTTAGACCAAAGGGCCGGCCCAGAAAGTACCCGCCCGACCCAGCAGCTTAAAACACCTAAAGCCTCGACCCTTATGCCTAATATCCCGAGCTAAACTCTTGACCTCCCTAAACCCTAAACCCTAAACGCCTTAAACCGCACAGAGCCAAGATCCGAACCCTCAGATGCCCGGGGGCACGGGGGGCCTTCAATCTGTCAGGATCTTGGCCGCACTTTGCAGCCCAAGGAGATGCTTGCTAGTCATTGCTTGCCGGTGTTTCCTCAGCTTGCGGAGACCTGCAATGCTCCGATGTTGCAGATCCAGGATGTACCGAAGACGGAGCTAG